ACCTCGGTGGAGGCGGACTTTAAATAAAGATATTTCACACACACCGTGGCATTTTGAATTTCCTCACAAGCGTGTAGTTTTACACTTGTTTTACAAATGTAGCTCTGGGCCCTGTTTCTCGAAATCTTAACTAAAGATAAAATCCAAATTTAGCAGATACTTCAATTTTGATTGGCTAAGCACTAAAATCAATCCAATATTATCCAATCAAATTACTAAAATTTGGATTTTATCTTAGATAAAATTTCGTGAAACAGGCCCCTGTATCCGCTCACTGTTAGTCTTGGATGCTCGCTGTTAGTCTGTGTTGACGAGCCTTTAATCAGTTTTGTCTTATCAGTATTGTCTTGCGTGTAGTGCGGTTCTCCTGTACTTATCAATATAGCAGTTTGAAATGGATTACTTTAGACGATGCCGAGCACCTGAACGGGGGTTTAATTTCCCTGGAGAGTTTAATTTCCTGATATCCACTGAAGCTGATCCGTTGGTTTCATTTTATTCGGACAATATCTAATTTTCCGCGGCCTAATCTATGTCCGGGACAGAACTGTAGGGCTTGAAGAGAGAGGGAGAGAAATGGGGTTTAACATCCACTCGACACAAACTAGATCATTTCGGGACTTACACGTGGTTCAATTTTATTTCAATAATTTGCTATAGCAGTGGGAGGAAACCGGAGGACCAGGAGAAAACCCACGAGGTTGGACAGGCGACACTACTCCTTGTTATGTACAACCGGGAAACGAAACCACACCAGTTGACTCAATAACAGACCTTAACATACAACGCGCACGGGCTAACCATTCAGCCGCCCCTCCCCCCGTAGGACGTTTAACCCCATATTATATCCTAATCAATCTAATTAATAATGTAGATCTATATTTCGTTTCGTTTGTTATACTTTCGACGGCCTACACTACAGTGTAGTAAAGACAAGTAAAATCGAAATTTTGATCTATAAAAACGAAACGAAATTGGATCTGTGTTTTAATCAGATTCTCTCCTAATCTATGTTCGAATGTACTCAAATTCGTCATTTAAATTTTTAATTGAGAAAATAAATAAAAATCTCCAGTTTTGGATTCAATAGTATTAAAATTTTTTACTCAACGCTTTAAAGAGGCATAATGTAAGATTTGATAAAAAGCCGACAGTTCTCGCTATAGTTAAAGATAATAAAATATGTTTGTTTTGAAAATTTCAAATTACTTTATTCTGTGCGACGTTACCATGGTTGTTTGGAGGAGTCTCGATTGTCATTGCTACAGTTGTTACGATAGTAAACAAAGTCTCGATTATCCATTTTTTATTTAAATCATTAACCACCAATCGTGTTTAAATCCGTTGAAAATCTAGAGCATCCGATGGCATCGAGAGTTGATTATGGACTTGGTAAGTTAATAAATGTCTAATTAAAATAATTCATATAACATTTAAAGCCTAAGGAAAGACCAGCAATAGGAAGATTAAGCTCTTGCATAATACATCTTTAAATTCGTCATATCTGTGCAAATACCGAATACGAACTTGAATTATTTAAAGGAGCTAAAGCCTTCTTCTTTGGGACCTAGAAATTGACACAAATGGGTCCCAACGCATATAATAATGTAATATGAATGTATATGAACTGATTTACATTCAATCGTTTCTGTTTTTTTACTGTAATTTCTAATAAGTTATGTTCGGCGAAATACGCGAAGAGTCCCAATGGAATGGAATGGCAGTCTTTGGCGTCCGGTTATTCCAGTCTATACATCGGTAATATTCTCCTATATGGGATATGTTTACCTTCATTCATCGCGTCACTTCATACAAATGACACTCGAAAGCATCTTGGCATGCGATTCGTGTGCCAATTTTAAAATGTTCATTTTGTCTTAAATGTTGGATATCAGAAGCCCATCTTTTCCCGGTAATATAACATCAATGTTGATTTCAATTTACCAATAATTCGCGTTTTCAGTGTAGAAGACTGTGGATGATATTGAGTTAAAGACTTGGCTAGTTTAATGACTTCTGTTCCTATTAGAGATTCTACCTTCACGATGGTATAGTTTACAGCGGATCCACCCAGCAACGTTCAGATTGCTTTAAAATGAATCTACATGAAAGAGAGAGAGAGAAATGCGGTTTAACGTCCACTCGACACAAACTAGGTCATTTCGGGACTAACATATGGTTTAATTTTTTTTTCAATAATTTGTTTGCGCGTAGGGGTCTTTAGCAGTGGGAGGAAACCGGAGGACCCGGAGAAAACCCACGAGGTTGGACAGGCTACCCTACTCCTTGTCACGTACAACCAGAAATTCGAAACCTCGCCAGTTGACTCAATGACAGACTTCGTGATACAGCGCGCACGTGCTAACCATTCGGCCATCCAACCCATCGCTTTCAAATGCGATCAGGTTGCTTTAAGGTGAGTTTACATGAAACCGTATCAGTTAAACTCCAGATGCGCCATTTCAGTGATATGGGAATCAATATGTTGAAAGATGAATCT